GCGGAGACCGGGTGACACCCCACCGTGACATCATCGCACATGCGAGTGACATTGCCGCGAGCGCGCGATGACGTCATCGCACATGCGCGGCGATCTTCTTAATACCTGCCAAGGGCCATCTTGGTGATGGACGCCGGCAGAGAGAGGAGGGGACAGTCACCCGGCGGGATAAGGTATGCCGCCGGGTACCCTACTCTCTCCTGACACTGTGGGGCGCTCGGTCCATAACAGAGTGCCCGACTTTTCAGAGTGGGGTGACACCAAAATGACCGACAGTCATTTGGGTGTCACCCCTCCAATGGTAAAGCAAAACAAACGACAAACGCACTCAAGAATTTGTTACCAGTTATACAGTAAGGTGCACACGAAATGGGCTTTGAACAGTAGAACAGTAGAAAGGCATCATGGCACACTCACAAACTAGCATGTAAAACAACTTGTCTCACCACTAAGGACAATGACAGAGGTTTGGATACACGTCTTCTGCAAAGGATGTGTATTACATGCTGGTTTGTGAGTGTGCCATGATGCCTTTCTACTGTTCTACCCTTCCAATGGTGTCGCACCCCCCTTGTGATGCCACTGGGGGCAGCACAAAGCAAAAATAATAGGTAAAACGATGAAATGATTTATGTCTCCGGGTAGACGGTGTTCAGTAGGGCCGGGAGCCTGTAGGCACAGAACGTTTGACGCCCGAAGTAACACCTGGAATAGTAATAATAGCAACAACTACAGGGAATATTAACTGTTACAGTGTATCCAATGACAAAATATTTTGGATAGAGTGGAAACGTTGAGACCACGGCCAGGTTTTTGTTGCTCTCCTAGCTGAGATTTGTATTCGCTTTTTGCCCCCCATGTCCATTGTTACAGGGATAAGAAATGAATAAAAAACCCAAAATTCTACAGTTGTCACCAGAACAGGAGAGAAATCTTCCAATGTGGACATTTCCCGAAATTTTGGAAAGATTTCCCCTCTTTTCAGGAAGTGAAATCTCCATACCGGGGCAGCAAAAGAAAAAAAAAGCTGAAAGGGGTTTTACATTTACCTCGCTTCATCCAAAACCTAAAAATAAAAAGTTTTGGCTTTTAATCAACCGACTCCATCATAACAAGAATAATAAGTATGGTAAATAAAATGATGGATCAGCAAATAATTACCCGAAAAGTCACAAGAGGAACCAGAAGCAAGTAGATAACATCTATGATAAACAAGAAAGTCACATTTTTCATCTCCTTCAAGAGACAGAGAGTATAGACAGAAAATATAGACAATACCACAATCTGATCGTGCAGGTAGTGCAGACAGAAAACACAGACAGTCCCACGGCCTTATTTTGCAGCCACGTGACTTTTCACATTTACATGTACGGTCTCATCTTGCAGAGGGTATAGACAGAAAACATACACAGTCCCTTTGTCTGATCTTGCAGAGATTATAGACAGAAAACATATACAGTCCCATGGTCTGCAGAGAGTATAGACAGAAAATATGTGCAGTCCAATAGTCTGATCTTGCGGAGGGTATAGACAGAAAACATACACAGTCCCATGGTCTGCAGAGAGTATAGACAGAAAACATATACAGTCCCATGGTCTGCAGAGAGTATAGACAGAAAATATGTGCAGTCCAATAGTCTGATCTTGCAGAGGGTATAGACAGAAAACATAAACAGTCCCATGGTTTGCAGAGAGTATAGACAGAAAATATGTGCAGTCCAATAGTCTGATCTTGCAGAGGGTATAGACAGAAAACATATACAGTCCCTTTGTCTGCAGAGAGTATAGACAGAAAATATGCGCAGTCTAATTGTCTAATCTTGCAGAGGGTATAGACAAAAAACATACACAGTCCCATGGTCTGCAGAGAGTATAGACAGAAAATATGCACAGTCCAATTGTCTAATCTTGCAGAGGGTATAGACAGAAAACATAAACAGTCCCATGTTCTGCAGAGAGTATAGACAGAAAACATACACAGTCCCATGGTCTGCAGAGAGCATAGACAGAAAACATACACGGTCCCATGGTCTGCAGAGAGTATAGACAGAAAACATACACAGTTCCATGGTCTGATTTTTGTAGAGGTTATAGAAGGAACATATACACAATCCCATGGTTTGATCTTGAAAAAGGTATAGACCAAAAATATACACAGTCCCGCAGTCTGACCTTGCAGAGGGTATAGGCAGAGGATTTGCACAGAACCCGCAGTCTGATCTTGTCCTTTCTAGGACCTTTCCTAGTACAATTGCATAAAACCAGGCCAGAGACTAGTAGAGACAAGCGTAGAGAAATTCACCATGATAATACTGTGATACCAGCTCCTAAGAGCTGCTATGTTTAACCACTGATAACATTCTAACCGTTTTCTGGTGGATCTCACATGCATTTCACCAGTGCAAACACCAGGAAATGTGTGGCATGGAAGGAACCAGGGATGCAGCTTCTTGTGTTTTCTATAAAATCTAAGGAGGAAGTCTGATAACCTGAAACTCCCAAGATGCAACTGGAAGTCCGCTGCCCGGGTTACTAACAGGAAGTGTAGGGATTTGAGGGTTTTCAAAACATTAACACACACTGATTAGTCCATTCACATTTGCGGATCCCTTTCACATGTATATTGAGGAAAAACACTGAACATTTTTTTTTAAAGAGACCCTGTCACCTCGTCGATTCAGGGCACAGTAACTGGGTCTGTTAAAAGCCCAACTCCCATCTACCTTATACATATTAGTCCCCCACTACACCTTCTTCTGTAGTAGCTGCTGCAAAAGTCCCGATGTCAGCTGGTGTCACAACTTGTGTCATGTGACAGCGCTCAGGCCTAGTGATTGGTCGGTCATGGGAGAAGGTCAGTGCTAGTACATTGGGCATGGAGAGACGTAGAAAAAGGAGTGTTGAAGGAGTACTGTAAAGGTGAGTATAAGACCGTTGCGGGGGGTGGCGCTGGCAGCAGGAGAGAGCAAAGAGATGACCGAATCAGTCTGCTGCTTATCCTTTATTGTCCAATCACATACTGGGGGCAGGGAGGTGACCAAGCTGTATTGCTTAACGGCAGTTGAGAAGAGTAAGGTCACCAGCCTTGCTGTCTGTATTTGTAAAGCCCAGGACTGCTTGGATAGACATACAAGTCCCTCAGCTGGTGGAACACTTCCCATATATTTCAGCTCCATATCTAGCTGCTCGCCCCAAGTTCAGCTTTTAGCAGCAAAGTATCTGTAGGAATTATTTTTAGACGTTGACAACTATGGTGTCGGCTTCTGCCGGAATCCTTCCATTGGAGGCGGCAGAATAGGTCTGAACATGTTTTATTCATGTAGGGGAGAAAAAAAAGAATGAGAATCCCGAATCCGTCTTCCGTTCCGCCGACTCGAATGGAAGGCGCTCCACGGGTTAACAAAGCGGTCTGAGGGAGAACTCTGGATGACCCTGCCTCCGGCTCTTTGATATGGAGAATCCAGGGATCCCAGTGAACAACTTATTTATAGAATCCGCTTTACAAAGAGAAGGAATAGGCGCAGGATTCCCGAGCGAAGGACGGCGGTTTAAAGGGAGTCGCCCACCGCGGCGAGCGACACGCAAAGACGAAGCCGTTAAATGGA